TGCCTGGCTTCAGAAGCAGGTAGCAGGATGAGACACTGCTGTTGAGCCAGTCTTCCAGCAGCACCATCACGACCACTAACTGAGATGGTGCAAAGGTGGGACTTGATAAGTGGTGAGATTGCAGAGATAGCTCTAGCACTCTTAACTGTTCACCACAAACCATTTACATTGAAGGAGACTCCTTTGAAATGAGGTCCCCATTGTGCCTTGCAAGGAAACCAGATCTTCTGCTTTGGGTGCACCATTTCCTTAAGGGCCAATAAACTGATTTTTGGTTGTACCAATTTAGCTCCAGACCCTATAAACAGTAAGTCATCTACAGTCATACCTCAGGTTGCGAACATGATCCGCGCAGGAGGCATGTTCGCTACCCACAGCGTTCGCAACCCGCAGTGCCGCATCTGCACACGCGCGTGACGTGATCTGGTGCTTCTGTGCATGCGCATGATGTCATTTTGTGCTTTTGCGCATGCGCGAGTGCTGAAACCCGGAAGTAACCCATTCTGGTACTTCCGGGTTCGGCGCGGTCCGCAACCTGAAAATGCACAACCTGCAGCGTTTGCAACCCGAGGTATGACTGTACCTGATCTTGAGCAAAATGAATCTGCTCCATCCCTATTTGTTTCTATTCTGAGCAAAGAAGTAGCCTTTGATGCAACGGAACCTACTTCATTTGGATTTAAATTTCTAAAATCCTTCCATCCTCGAGGCTTGGTTGTTTAAGTATTGACAAAGTAGATGTCCTAAGGAGGTGCACCATCAGCTGTCATTTCTAAATCAACTACCTTTATAAGAGAATGAATGACTAGGCAGCATCAACTAGGTGAAGTCAAGCCCTGAATTTGGGAGCTTACTCTCTAGAGTTCATCATCTATGCAAAATTGCCCTCTGCTGAACAGGTAGCTGAGGGATCAAAGCTATGGTAATACAGTGGTACCTCAGCTTACATACGCTTCAGGTTACAGACTCCGCTAACCCAGAAATAGTACCTTGGGTTAAGAACTTTGCTTCAGGATGAGAACAGAAATCGTGCTCCAGCTGCGTGGGGCAGCTGGAGGCCCCATTAGCTAAAGTGGTGCTTCAGGTTAAGAACAGTTTTAGGTTAAGAATACGGACCTCCGGAACGAATTAAGTACTTAACCCGAGGTACCACTGTACTTTCCAATATTGCCTGTAATTGCCAATTCCAGTTTCAAGCTTGTGCAGAGGAGTTTGCTCATCACCAAATGAGAGCTACTATATGTATGGCACTGTGTTGCTGCCCTCCTGACAGGTCTTGAATGAAGGGGAATAGCTGCAGGCAGAATCAAAGAAGAAAATAATAATAATAATAATAATAATAATAATAATAATAATAATAATAATTTATTTATACCCTGCCCATCTGACTGGGTTTCCAAGCCACTGTGGGTGGCTTCCGACAAAATATTAAACTACAGTAGTCCGTCAAACATTAAAAGCTTCCCTAAACAGGGCTGCCTTCAGATGTCTTCTAAAAGTCTGCTAGTTGTTCTCTTTGACATCTGGTGGGAGGGCGTTCCACAGGGAGGGTGCCACTACAAAGAAGGCCCTCTGCCTGGTTCCCTGTAACTTGGCTTCTCGCAGGGAGGGAACCGCCAGAAGGACCTCGGCGCTGGACCTCAGTGTCCGGGCAGAATGATGGGGGTGGAGACGCTCCTTCAGGTATACTGGGCCGAGGCTGTTTAGGGCTTTAAAGGTCAGCACCAACACTTTGAATTGTGCTCAGAAACATACTGGGAGCCAATGTAGGTCTTTCAAGATCTGTGTTATGTGGTCTTGGCGGCCGCTCCCAGTCCCCAGTCTAGCTGCTGCATTCTGGATTAGTTGTAGTTTCCGGGTCACCTTCAAAAGTAGCCTCACATAGAGCACATTGCAGTAGTCCAAGCGACAGATAACCAGAGCATGCACCACTCTGGCGAGTCAGTCCGTGGGCAGATAGAAAGCAAGCAAGGTCTTAAGTAGAAATGAAGGGTTTAAAATGTGATTTTGTAGGAGTACACTGTCAACTGATTAAATGATTCTCAGGATACCTCCCAATTCTATGATTAGTTAGACTAGTTTTAGTAAGAAAGCAGTGAACGGATTCAGATGGATCAATAGGCTTTGGCCAGACAGGGCCAGACAGGCTCAGCAACAAGGCTGTTGCTGAGCTCATGCTCCTAGCTGCAATCCTGTTGTCCACATAGTCAGAACTCTCTTCCTGTTTGCCAGCCAGTGTCTGGTCCTCTAGCGGGAAAAATAGTAGCTGGTGCAATGGGGCAGTGTTGCTTTCCCTCTACAAAATAATTTTCTCTGGAGGGACATGGCAGGGGGTTGCAGGGGAGTGAGAGAACTTGAGAAAATTGACCTTCTACCCATTCTGCAGATGGATGCCTTCTCTCAGCAGAGGAACACCTGTTGGATCCAACCCAGAATGTTGGTGTATGTGTGTGTTTTACTTCTCTTGTTCCTCTTCCCTTGTCCACTCTCACTAAACCCTAATGGTTCAGATAGCCAATCTGATTAAAAGCCTAGATTTCCCTCTCCTGGTTTTTCTTTTGTACATTGTCCTACATCACAACCCTTTGGTTTGCTTGTTTTAAATCACTTTATATACTGCAATTAGTCATATATGATAAAGTAGCAGATTATCTACAAAACTGTTCTGTAATGGTGTATTATACAGTTTCATGGGATGCACTTTTATTTTACAATTTGCTGTCTTGCATCTTATCAACCAAGGGAATATTTTCTCTTTTATTGTCCTCAGAATTTACAGCAAGCCGTATACAGAACTTTGGAAACCCTCAAAACTGATCTCTTTTTTTTGCAATAAGTTATGCTGAAGAAAGTCCCTTTGAAATTCTGATAGAAACTATTTTCCCCTGTTGATAATGAGGAATGAGAATCTATTAACACTGATTATTTTCATGACGCCAATTCATTACTTTTTGTGGATAATCAAATCAAAATTCATCATATAAATTGACTACCCTTTTTCATCTGGCAATGATCCATTTTTCTTTCTAATTACTGTCTTAATTCTCTCCAAGCTGTGCACCAAACTATTCAGATTCCCTCCCCCACAACTTCCTGACAAGTACTATTAGAACTAAAAGCCTTTCAGAAGAGAGAATTTCAGTGAAACGGAAAACAGCTCCTCCAAAACAAGCCCAGAGTTATTATGGCAGGCATCAATAAGCAATAATCTATAATCACTGCATTGCCAAATGGATGAAAAAGGACCCTTATATCTTTCTAAAATAAGCTGTTGTGTGAGCTAGTTAGATTTAATGGTCAATAAGCAAATTCAGATTCGGAATATTTATTTGTGCTAAGATGACATCTCTTTGGAAACCTCCATTACGACCAAGGGCAACAGATGGGAAAACAAAGTGATGATTTTCAGGTTGTGTAATATTGCACCAATTTATTGCCAAGCTGTAATTTTAAAAGCATAGCCCCCCCCCCCCCGCCTGCATTAAGACAGAAACATCTGCCCCTCGGATCCGGCGCTTGGGTCCTCCTTGCAAGTTAGCCAGCATAAACCAGCCTGACTTGGCGGTGTTTGCAAGCAGAGAGCAGGGATATGCAGAGCAAATCAATACAGATGGCTCCAGCCAAAAGAGCAAGAGGCAGCCAAGGGACCAAGGTCTTTAGCCAATAAAATCCAAAATGAATCCCATATATCCCCAGTTGCAGAAGGGGGGAAAGAATGAAACACTGGTGACACGGACGGACGCTGCATCTAGACACATCACAAAATCGTTTCAGTTAAAAGCGTTGTAAATTTAAACAGGAAAAACAGGTAGGAAAAAAAGGTGGCAAGTGGAAAGAGGGCAGGGGATCATGACTTTGAGCAGAAAAGTTATGTCTCTGGTTACAGAGCTCGGTCGTTGTTATAGGAAAATCTTTGGGCTCACCTGCATTGCCAGACAATGACCGCTCCCCGCTTAAAACGGGGGGCGCCCTTTGCATGGACGTGCGCAGCCCCTAGATCTGGAGCGGCTCCAACAGCATAGGCTTGGCTTTGCCTTCCCTCAGGTGGGATACCTGGAGGTCCCCGCCTACCTCAGTCAGTTGTCCAATCCCACCTGGGGGAAGCGTTGCCAAGGAGACCAGGCCAGGTAGGGGAGGGATTACCTGCCCACACAATAGAGGGAGGATCTTACCTGGGAATCCTCACTTGGCTCCAGAGCTTCTCCCACCCTACCCACCCTCAGTTAATGTCTTCCTTTGCAGGTTAACTTTTCTTCACAGGTATACGGGCGCTGCTACGTTAAGGTTGCTGTTAAAGGGCCGGAAAGGAATTCTCCTGCATTGGCAGGTTTCGCCTTTCCCGTAGCAAAACGTCACAACTTTGGCGGTATCAGGCCTTGGGCGGAATCCTTTAGTCCATCTTCCTCTTTGCGGCGGCGATATCAGGGTTCCCCATTAAAGGGGGTTTTCTGAAGGGAGGCTTTGACCGTACACCGAAAGATCGTCATTGCTCTCCCCTGCGGTGGCGGCGTAACGGGGGCGGCTATCTCTGCTTGAACATATGTTCTCCAGAGCCGGCCCATCCCCCCCACACACACTGGATAACCCTGATGCTCCCTAGGTCCCTGGCTGGGGACTGGGGAGGGGAACGCCCAATGCCTGAGCCAAGGTCTACCCACATTTGAAATTTAATAAAGTTGTGGCCAATTTAATCCCATAGCACGTTGTCATGAGTCGTTATTCCACATGACGGGGGGGACCGCTCGGGATCTGGGGACTCCGCCTGTCCACGCAAAGACATCAGCCAAGAACATTGGAGCAAAACAGCAGCCTGTAGGCCTGATCCTTATTCAAGGAACTGTTGCAACAGGACTTCTACCCACCACATGGAAGAAGCAGGAAGAAGCCCAGAACAAAGGATAGCTCCAACTTTTATAAGTTTCCCTTTTTACCCACAACACCCTTAGTGAAGCATCACACATACATCATTTATACATCACAGCTATGTCATAATCTGGGAGGGGTCTTCTGGCAGAAACCTGAGCATCAGGTTTTCCCCAATCCCTCCCTTGACCTCCACCTCACACTCATTAACTAAAACAAAAGGTAAGTATGTACACGTTCCTGTTCTCCCAGTCAAGTTAATCACACCCCTTTGTCTTGACCAAGGTCCTAATCAACTGAAGTTGGGTTTACCATTGTCTCTGGAATAGCTCTCCCTGTCTGGCGCTCAGGGGCCAGGATGTCAGAGATTATCTCCCATGCAAGAGGCTGCTGAGTACGTGATCTCAGGCTTGAGGGATTATGGCCGCCCACATCCCAGGCTTCCCCTTTGGTAGCCATTCCTTTCCTGAACAGAACAAAGTTGGAACAGCACAAATCTGATACTGGAGCGACTTTCTATGACTTTGCGTGTCAAGGTCCCCAAGCCACCCCTAAATAAACACAATTCACACAGAATTTTTGTTTCAGGTTTTTGGCATAATTTTTGGCCACAACTTTATTAAAATACAAAATGTGAGTGGTTGCTTAGGCATTGGTTGCGCCCAGGGACAGAACTGACATCTGCAAGCCTGCGAAGTCAGTAAGGGAAAACATTTTATGGGGAGTAAATGGAGCTGGGTACCAGACCCTCACATCTCCCCAAATGCCCTAGCCCCCTTGACAGGGGTGCGGACAAAAGCATAGTGAGCCCCTGGATTCCTTTAACGGAATACCCTTGCAGCAGCAGCATTGGAGGGGCAGGCACAGCCAATCCATGCCCCTCCACCAACCAATTCCCAAACCAATGCCTAACTGCAAACCTTACAAGTTGTGATGATTTGCTACGCAGCAGGCAAAAACCAAATGGCAGCAGCCAATCAGCCAAATGGACAAAATTCCTACTGGGCCCCTGCCCCAAAGCAGACGACCCCATGACAGGCATAGCAAGGTCCGTGCGAACAACCCTAAATATAGGAAGGGTGGGCGGGTAATCCAATGTGCGCAGCAAAAAGAGAAAGCTCAACGCTGCGTGCAGGGAATGTAAAGCTTCTAGGCTGTCAATCAAAATTAGCAACATTAAAATCTCCCCAACAACATAGAAGAGCCCAATCGCATTTGTGGCCATCTAAACTTACCCGCCCAGCAACAGAGGGATGACTTGTTAGACTCCACTGCAACACATGCTCTCCATGAAGGAGAACACGCCTTCTAAAGTTTTCCCATTGAGCCTGTATGTAGATACATTTATCAGTGAATTGTTATGCTTGGTAATGTGCAATGGAGGCCCTTTGAATAGAGATGGGGGAAAAACCTGTGTGATAAAGTGTTTTGTGGGGACGCTTGCAGGAGTGATTATCTTTTTGGCAGTCAAGGGGGGTGTATGATGTCTGCTGGAGGGGCAACCCCCCCCAACCTTTCTCCAAATTCCGGTAACAGTCGTGGATCAAATGCTTTGCTTCAATCAGATCCCGGATTCAATCCTCAGCATCTCAAGTTGAAACGCTGAGGGAACAGGTGTTGTGAAAGACCTCAGCTAGAGAAATCCTGCCAATCAGAGTGTGTTGTGAGCCCTGTGGAGATGTCATGGAGGGAGGGAGTGGATCCTGAGAAAGGGGGGGGGGAGAGATCATGGAGTTGGAGATGATTCAGGGGAGGGTGAAATCGGGGCTTCAAGAAATGTCTGAGTTGAAAGAGAAGGTCAGTGATGAAGACAGTGGCTGCCGGGACCATATAACACCAGTCCTAAAGGATCTTCATTGGCTCCCGGTACACTGCTGAGCACAATTCAAAGTGTTGGTGCTGACCTTTAAAGCCCTAAACAGCCTTGGCCCATTATACCTGAAGGAGTGCCTCCACCCCCATCGTTCTGCCCGGACACTGAGGTCCAGCTCCAAGGGCCTTCTGGTGGTTCCCTCACTGCAAGAAGTGAGGTTACAGGGAACCAGGCAGAGGGCCTTCTTGGTGGTGGTGCCCACCCTGTGGAACACCCTCGCATCAGATGTCAAGGAAATAAACAACTATCCCTGGCAGAATCCGAGACCAGGGAGAAGAGTCGGTGAAAGAAGACTGGAAGAAATTTAAAGACTATTTACAGAAATATTGTAAAATTAATGAATCTTAGAAGGATGTTGGATAGAAACTAAGTGGTTTCCAGCTGTAATGCTTTAAGAGATACGAAAAAAGGTTTACAAATGGGTAAAAGCTTAATGGTAAGGATTTGCTGAACTAACAAACTGAACTGGAATACAAAAAAGGGAGGTATGAGGAAGTCTGGGGAAATAAGGGTAAAGAAGATAAGTTATAGAAAGTTAATGTGTTTTTTAACTGTTTTTATCTTGTATTTTTTTCTTGATTTTTCTTTTTTTTTGTTATATTTTAAAAACGTTATTCTTTTTTTTGTATTTTGTATTTTCTTGTATTTTTATTTTTTGTTTTTGTATTTCTTGAAACTTTAATAAATATCATTTTAAAAAAAATTAAAAAATAAACAACTATCTGACTTTGGGAAGACATCGGAAGGCAGTCCTGCTTAGGGAAGTTTTTACTGTTTGATGTTTTATCATGTTTTTAATATTCTTTTGGGAGCCACACAGAGTGGTTGGCCAGATGGGCAGGGTATGTATAGATATAATAATAATAATAATAATAATAATAATAATAATAGCATGCCCCAAATAATCCCTGTTACTATCATTCACCCCTCACATAGCTACCATTTCCAGTGCCCTTAACAAACTACAGTTCCCAGGATTATCATGTGTGTGTGTGATTTAAATTTATGTTGTGTATGCAGCCTATAATTCTTTTACCCAAGTTTGTTTTAAATGAAACGTTCGGGGGGGGGGGTGCTCAGAAATCTAGAGCAGAGGATCTGTAGGGGGTGGAAAGCCTGTTTAATGTTTTATCTGCTTGCTGCTCATACAATTCTCCTCCTGTCCCAGCTGCTTTCCCACCCGTATCTCTGTCCCCACCCCCAGGGCAAACTGCAGGTCAGGTGCATGTGAAGCTGAGCAGTCAAACAGCAGGCTGGGAAACAGTTACGTTGCCCCTTACCCCCGGGGGTTATTCTTCACTCCTGTTTTTAGTCAGGATTTGGGAGGAAAAAACCATGGGAATGCTCATCACACAAAGTTTTGTCTTTGGTGTTAACGTTTGCCTTGGGCAAGCTGAACCGCCAAATTGAATTTCTTTACCCACTGAGCTCCATCTAAAGGGGAAGAAAAAGTTTTCTTAAATTAAGTATTATACACCTTTGTGCATTATTTGGAATCATAACGACACATGGATTTCCTAAGCCTCTGCCGTTTCCCGGGAGGACTGCAAGAAGACAATCAGTATATTTGCTAGAAGAGAGACCAACTTTTGCTGTTGAGAGTCTGACCACTTTTCAGGCTTCGTGGATCTCTAATTGGTAGTGAATATCTGGTTAAAAGCTGCAGGAGAAGGAATCTGAACGGACTGATTAAAATAACAAAAAAAAGTTAATAGCTAATCTATTCTTTCCTGTGACATTACTTTGTTAATCCATTTAATCAGATCCAATAATTAGCCCTTGCTGAAAGAGTGAACATTTCATTTGAGAGCAGTACGAGGCCAGGAGGAGGTAGGATTTAAAAACCTGTCCCTGTGCTCCTGTTCTTCAGTCATCTCTGTGAGAGATCCATTATTATTATTTTCCCTGAGAAAAGCATCCAAGAAGGGGAATGAGCCAGCTTTTCCTTTGTGAACTGAGGAATTAACTCCACACAGAAATATATATTAATTAGAGAACCAGCATGGTTAAACGAAAAACAAAAAAACCACTTCTCTGAAATAAATTAAACAGAATCATTGGACCTCTATTAATATCGAGTAGTTCATTGCATTGAAAACGGTTGTGAAATGGATGACATCTGGAAAAGGATGCTAGAGGAATAAAGTAATATTCAGGAATGGGGATGCAGCCTGGAAAAGCAATGGAACTTCATCTAAAGCAGGGATGGTAACCTGGCGTCCTCCAGATGTTGTTGAACTCCCATTTCCATCAGCTCTAGCTGGCAAGGCCAATAGTCAGGGATGATGGCAGTCATCCATCAGCAACATCTGGAGGGTACATTGTTGGTTTTGCTTGTATGCAGATACTACAATGCCTCAGTTCTTGATGCTAGGGTGGTTTGTCCCAACATTTCTGAGTACAGGGACCCCTCATTCATTCATTCATTTATTGCAGGACCCCCCCCCATGATAATTATTGTAATTTTAGGCCCTCTTGTCCGAGAGAACAAATAGTCTAAATCTATGGTTTTTTATTGTTGTTGTTTAGTTGTTTAATCGTGTCCGACTCTTCGTGACCCCATGGACCAGAGCACACCAGGCACTCCTGTCTTCCACTGCCTCCCACAGTTTGGTCAAACTCATGTTGGTAGCTTCGAGAACACTGTCCAGCCATCTCGTCCTCTGTCGTCCCCTTCTACTTGTGCCCTCAATCTTTCCCAATATCAGGGTCTTTTCCAGGGAGTCTTCTCTTCTCATGAGGTGGCCAAAGTACTGGAGCCTCAGCTTCAGGATCTGTCCTTCCAATGAGCACTCAGGGCTGATTTCCTTTAGAATGGATAGGTTTGATCTTCTTGCAGTCCATGGGATTCTCAAGAGTCTCCTCCAGCACCATAATTCAAAAGCATCAATTCTTTGGTGATCAGCCTTCTTGATGGTCCAGCTCTCACTTCCATACATCACTAGCCTATTTCAGGCTTCCTCAACCTTGGTCCTCCAGATGTTTTGAGAGTACAGTTCCCATCATCCCTGACCACTGGTTCTGCTAGCTAGGGATCATGGGAATTATAGGCAAAAACATCTGGAGGGCCGAGATTGAGGAAGCCTAACCTTTTTCTTAATTTTTGTTGCCAGATTTGCATGGGTGATGCAAATACCTTTCATTTATTATCATATTTTTGCATGCATGTATCTGATCACAATATCTCAAGGTCACTCACATATTGTTTGTTGAATGGGCACCACCAGTGTTGTAAATTTCTGCACAAATCATTGCAGGTCAGTGTGTTGCCAGCTTTGCAAGTGAAGACAAACGGTTTTCACTATTTGTTTCAGCTGCAGAATGCATCGTTTAGTAAATAGCCCTTAAAATACATTCTGCAAGCCTTATGCCTCATGTTTTCAGTTTGGTATCTTACCCTCTTCTCCTAGCTGGGACTCTTGGCTATGGATGTGAGACTACCATTTTGAGGTAGGAAATAAGTGTTTCTGTGGAACTTTACCTGCACTAGAGCAATTCATAATGTTTTGGATATTATTTAATGCAATAGTACTTAATGCAATACTGAGGTGGGAAGTAGTGCAAGGTGATTCTAGATGAAGCTACAAATCTGGAAATAAAAGTTGTTACACAAGTTTTTCAGCTGCAAAATCCAAAA